CACCCATTCACAAAAATGTATGCACGCATGACTGTAAGTCGCTTTGGATAAAAGCGTCTGCTAAATGGCTTATTATTATTATTATTATTATTATAAAATGCAGCCAATTCTTGCTCTGCTGGCAGGGGGAACGTGTGAAATATAATTATTCATGTGTAAAGAATGTACTACTTAACTATAACTCATGCACATCATGTTTGTTTAATAGATAGTCGGATAATATAAATCTTTGGCATTGTCTTAAAAATCAGTTGTGGTGAGCAGCGAGTGTCTATCCACAGGAGTACTGGTTGTCCCCTCACAGAAATAGGCCTACCTTATTCCTTTTGTTCTGCTCACGTAATTCACACCAATGGCCTCATATCACATCCTCATTGCCAGCACAGTAGATATCTATTTAATAGCAGACAATCGAAACAAATCAAAATGCTGAGCTAAATTTGCATTGCATAATGGCTTTATGCTTTGTTTACTGTATACTTTGCCAGATTCAGATTGCTTGAAAATACCCATTATAATCTGTCAAATCTGAATGGTCAATGTGCCAAATTGATGTTAACTTGGAACAAAGCACTCAGGATTAAATATATGCAATTCATTCTTATATTTCTGCAGATTTATGCCTGATACGGTTCCTCTATATGTGAAGTGGCCAAATATGCATGGCTTTGAGGCCTCTATGCCTTGCAGTGTGGAATGCCCATGCAACTCAGCTGTATAAAAACAGCCGCAACAATACCCCCAAAAAACTTGATCAATGTGTTTGTCACAGAGTATTTGGATTCAAAGCAATTGAGGGAACTCTTTGTAAAGCCGTGCTTTCATGCATTATGTTAAAAGGGTTAATTGAGAGCAACATCTTGACGAACCTGAAATAAAAAATCTAAACATACAGGCAGCCCATACTGTTTCCATTTACAGTTCCATCATTTAGAAATCATTGGCCTTGAGGTCATTCTATTTCTAAAAGCCTCATCTAATGATTATTTTTCTCTGTGGCGCTCAGACAGCCAAAGATGTGGATAGAGAATACAGAGGGTTCAGTGACAGAAGAAAACAGGGCGGTGGGTTTAAGTGCTCAGACTGGTCTGGGGATTAAGGTAATCAATATATTAGGCCTGCGACCTCCACCAAATACCATCTTATGTGTCCCAGGCCTGGCTGAACAGCCTATTGCACAGAGGCAGCTAGTTTATTAGCTGTGATTGGATTTCATTTTAGATTGCAAAAAAACACACTGATGCACATTTAAGATAGCCAAACCACACAGCTGAACATGAGTGAGCTGAGGACCAGAGGCTTTGTAACACTGAAGAGATGGACACTGCCTCCTAGTGGGAGTGAGATGACCATAACATTTAATTGCTCTTTCAGACTTCACAGATCACTCTGCTTGATGTTTAATTATTACGTCAAAGGACAAGGAAAGGAACTCTCGACTGAACATTTGCATGAAAATAATTTATTCCTTGTAAACCTCAGTGTGAGAGCAGACCTGGGGAGAAACAGAACAGTGACTGCGGGAATAACAAAAAAAAACGTGTATACTTTCAATATCAGTTGAAGGACCAACTGACTAAACTGTAATTTGCACAAAAAGCTTTTCCATATACAGTAGGTCATAACCACACACACAAATTACCATTTCAGATGACAGCAAAACCACATCTGGCTCAAGCTATTCCTCCCTGCAGGGAATGACAATACCAAAAAGGAGTAAGGAAGAAATGGTTGACTGTTCTTAACACCCATGGCCCAGGCAGTTTCCAATACTGTTTCATTTACAAAAAGAAAACGTCATTTCCTAGTCCCTTACTTTCAACTACGTAAACAGTCTACTACAAACACGTGAGCAGTTTTCCCACCTTCCTGACATACTTCAGACAATTCAGTTAGAGAATGTTTGTCAAACATCAACCAATGTATTTGCAGTACATTCTTGGATAGCACATATCCTAGAAAACAAGCAATCCTTTCTTGGCAAATGGCTGAAGTTGAGTATTCAGCAATAAAAAGGAGCCATATTAAGAATTTAATGCAACATTTAGTGGAAAAATAATGTCATTTGGCAATTCCAGAGCCTTGTTTCTTGTATAACTTACATATATATACACTACCGTTCAAAAGTTTGGGGTCACTTAGAAATGTCCTTGTTTTCAAAAGAAAAGCAAAAAAATGTGTCAATTAAAATAACATCAAATTGATCAGAAATACAGTGTAGACATTAATGTTGTAAATGGCTATTGTAGCTGGAAATGGCTGATTTTTTATGGAATTTCTACATAGGCGTACAGAGGCCCATTATCAGCAACCATCAGTCATGTGTTCCAATGGCACATTGTGTTGGCTAATCCAAGTTTATCATTTTAAAAAGGCTAATTGATAATTAGAAAACCTGTTTGCAATTATGTTAGCACAGCTGAAAACTGTTGTGCTGATTAAAGAAGCAATAAAACTGGCCTTCTTGAGACTAGTTGAGTATCAGCAATTGTGGGTTCGATTACAGGCTCAATGTGGTCAGAAACAAATAACTTTCTTCTGAAACTCGTAAGTCTATTCTTGTTCTGAGAAATGAAGGCTATTCCATGCGAGAAATTGCCACGAAACGGAAGATCTCGTACAACGCTGTGTACTACTCCCTTCACAGAACAGCGCAAACTGTCTCTAACCAGAATAGAAGGAGTGGGAGGCCCCGGTGCACAACTGAGCAAGAGGACAAATACATTAGAGCAGGGTTCTTCAATTCCGGTCCTGGAGGGCCGAAACACTTCTGTTTTTTATTTCTACCTGGTAGTTAATTGCACTCACCTGGTGTCCCAGGTCTGAATTAGCCCCTGATTAGAAGGAGAGGATGATAAACAGAGGTGTTTCGGCCCTCCAAGACCGGAATTGAAGAACCCTGCATTAGTGTCTAGTTTGAGAAAGACGCCTCACAGGTCCTCAACGGGCAGCTTCATTAAATAGTATCCGCAAAACACCAGTCTCAACGTCAACAGTGAAGAGGCGACTCCGGGATGCTGACCTTCTAGGCAGAGTTGCAAAGAAAAAGCCATCTCTCAGACTGGACAAAAAATAAAATATTAAGATGGGCAAAATAACACAGACACTGGATACTTCAGTTTCTTGGCAATTTCTCACATGGAATAGCCTTCATTTCTCAGAACAAGAATAGACTGATGAGTTTCAGAAGAAAGTTATTTGTTTCTGGCCATTTTGAGCCTGTAATCGAACCAACAATTGCTGATGCTCCAGATACTCAACTAGTTTTTTTTTTTTTGTCATTTAGCAGACACTCTTATCCAGAGCGACTTAGTGAGTGCATACATTTTCATACTGGCCCCCCTGGGAATCGAACCCACAACCCTGGCGTTGCAAGCGCCATGCTCTACCAACTGAGCTACACGGGGCCATGAAGGCCAGTCTCAAGAAGGCCAGTTTTATTGCTTCTTTAAATCAGCACAACAGTTTTCAGCTGTGCTAATATAATTGCAAAAGGGTTTTCTAATGATCATTTTTTAAATGATACACTTGGATTAGCAAACACAACGTGCCATTGGAACACAGGACTGTTGTTTGCTGATAATGGGCCTCTGTACGCCTACGTAGATATTCCATAAAAAAAAAAAAAAAATATCAGCCATTTTTTGCTACAATAGCCATTTACAACGGTCTACACTGTATTTCTGATCAATTTGATGTTATTTTAAAATGGACAAAAAAATTGCTTTTCTATCGAAAACAAGGACATTTAGGTGACCCCGAACTTTTGAACTGTAGTGTACATTGCACAAAATCCATCAAGTTTTCCCCTTCCAAACAGCTTTTTTTTTTTTTTACCATACAATTTAAGTCAAAACAATAAAAAGATAAGTAGGGACAACAGTTAAACCAACAGAACAGGAGTTTCCAGCAGAGAGATGTGTTATAGTTGGATGCAGTAGACTCCCATGCTGGGAGCTTGGGACCTGTTTGCAGTAGACTTAGTAGTAATGTTACCATATTCAACATACTGTAAAGGATTAACATGACCATGCTAGACCAGACAAAAGTGGCCATATCGTCAGAACTGTTGAGCAAGTAGATGGGCTATCTTTTCTGAACCTAAGGTTAGGATCCGGGTCAAGGTTAGGGGTATAATTGTATGTGGTTGGAAAGCCCTGTACTTCAGTCCTTTCTAGCATAGCAGGCTACTAACTCCCACCACTGAGGTCCTGTCTCAAGGCACTGTGATCATGACAATTTGTGAAAGACATTTCTGGGCTTAAAGAGAAGGCATATTATAGATTAACTTCTCTTAATACTGCCTTTGCATAACACTTTTGGAAAGGATCGTGGAAATTAGGGTGCTTTAAGGGAAGTAAATGTAATTTTGCAGATGGTAGTCAACATTTGGGGTTGTTGAGGATGGTTTATGTTGATTTATCCCTTGTTATTCAAACAAATAACATCTTGGTACAGCTCTGTTCTCAACTCAGTGATGTTTTCAACTTTTTGTGGCAAGATCAACAAGTGAAATAGGAGACCACACAATCCACTTTCAAACATAATAGAACCAATACCACAAAACCCAAGAACAGCCACTGGAAGGTTCAATTTGGTCTGATATTCACAACTGAAAAATACCATTGACAAAACAGGGCTAGAGTTTACTGGGTATCTGCACTCAGCGATCAGAATGTCTAATGTGGAAATAAGGGTGAGCACTCCTGCTAGCAGAGATCCACATCCCAGATATAACTAAATAAAACCAAGCCCAGAGACCAAGTAACTGGTAACAGGTAGAGTAGAAGGGGAAACTGAAACGCCCTAGATAAGCCCAATTCTCTACGTTTTCACAAGACATTCACAAGAAGAAAAATAACTGGGAATTCCTAGTCGACATGTGATGTCCCTTAGTTCTTTTTTTAGTCTTTTGTTTTAACTACAACAAATAGTCACACAATACAACATCCTTCTGATCTGGCGAGAAAATTTAACAAAAACAGTTCAGTCGCAGACCTTCCAAGCAGATCTGGAGGTCGGCTTAAGAAAAAAAGAAAGAGAAAAAAAAGAGAATGGAGGTTTGGAGGGAGCATTCACTTTTTGAGTGGCTGGTAGATGGAGGCATTTGGGTCCAGGCCGGAGGGACTTGTGTCCATGAACTTGGAGGAGTAGTGGGGGGCTACGGGAGTCATGTTGCTGCTGTCAGCTGTGTAGGAGATGCTGGGCATGACCGCCATCACCTCAGCTATTTTCTGCTTCAGGTCCTTGATCTCCTGGTCCTTCTGCAGGTTCTGACCTGAGACACACACACACACACACACAGCAACAAACTGTCAGATAAGACCTTCATAATGTCATGCAACCTATTCTACATCAATCACATTCGGTAGGAAATAGGTGTGACTGAGGCAGTATTGCAGAGGGGCTAGACACTGACCTTGTGCAATCTCCAGCTGTCTCTTGGCATCACCCAGTGCTGAAAACAGGTCCAGTTTGATGCGGGTCTCTGCAGACAGGCTGTTCTCCAGGTGCTGGGTCTTTTCCTGCATGGCCGACAGCGCTGACATCAGCACTTCTGTGTCCTTCTCATTCTCCTTGTACTTCTGGAGCTCCTGAGAGAGGGAAAGAACACATCAATATAAGTGACATTGTCTGTGTGCCAGTGTACAGCAGGTGTGCATGAGTCATATTAGCCCTCTAATTACACTAAAAAATCTCAAACGCAACAATTTAAAATATTTTACCGAGTTACAGTTCATAGAAGGAAATCAGGCAATTGAAATAAATTCATTAGGCCCTAACCTATGGATTTCACATGACTGGGCAGGGACGCCGCCTTGGGTGGGTATAGGCCTACCCACTGGGGAGCCAAGCCCAGCCAAATCAGAATGAGTTTTTCCCCAGAAAAGGGCTTTATTACAGACAGAAATACTCCTCAGCGCACCCCCCCCCGCCGATGATTCCACAGGTGAAGAAGCCGGATGTGGAGGTGCTGGGCTGGCGTGGTTTCACGTGTTCTGCGGTTGTGAGGCCGGTTGAATGTACTGCCAAACTAAAACAAGGTAGCTTATGGTAGAGAACATTCAATTCTCTGCACATTTTAGGGTAGCCTTTTGTCCCCAGCACAAGCTGCACCTGATCATGCTGTTTAATCAACTTATTGATATGCCACACCTGTCAGGTGGATGGATTATCTTGTCAAATGAGAAATGCTTACTAACAGGGATGTAAACATAAGCTTTATGTGTGCATGGAACATTTCTGGGATGTTGCATTTATATTTTTGTTAAGTATATTTATTTAATAAGATTAAGTCTAAGGGCCTTAGACCGCTCCCGAGTGGCGCAGCGGTCTAAGGCACTGCATCTCAGTGCTTGAGGCGTCACTACAGACCCCCTGGTTCGATTCCAGGCTGTATCACAACCGGCCATGATTGGGAGTCCCATAGGGCGGCGCACAATTGGCCCAGCGTCGTTCGGGTTTGGCCGGTGTAGACTTGCCTAGTTAAATAAAAAATCCATAGTGACAGCATGTCAGATGGGTCATGGTCCAATGACTGTAGACTTTGATTTGGGGAGGGGGTGTAGCATCTAACTGGATGTAATAGTGTCTTGTTTATTGCTTGGCGACGCAAACAACGATTCTCCAATCAGAACCATCTACTGATTATGGATGTAGCTTCGGATGCCGGACACATGCTGCTGGCAGGTACAGTCATTGGACAAGGACATAGATCACACGCTGTTGCTATGGAATGCCCTTGACCTAGTCTTATTAATTAAATAATTAGAGGGCTAATATTGGGCTAGAGTCATAACATTTTAGCTACCTTAACCAAACATTTTCTTGACATCAAAACATACCCATCTTAACTGAACAGTGAACCTCACCTGCACGTTCATCTCCAGCTCTCTGATCTGATCTTCTTTGAGCTTGATGTCCATGGTCAGTTTCTTACACTCTGTCTCCAGCTCCGTGATCCGCCTCCTCAGTGTATCTGTGCACTCCCCCCTGTGGAGCAGACCGAGAGAACTCCACTAATAGCAGATCATTTATGAAATATTTCTGAATATCTCTGGAGCCTATACCTGGATGCTGCTGCTAGTGCGACGGCTCTGGCTGCGGTGGCCTCCTCCAGTTTCTTGCGTTTCTTCTCATCTGCAAGCTGTTTCTCTGCGTTGGCGCGGGCCTCCTGCTCGACCTTCAGCCTCTTTTCCAGCTGGCCCACGGCCTGCTTGTCCTTCTGCTTGGCCTGGACTGCGTTATGGAGCCTGCACACACACAGCAGCCACAGACCATTCAGCACCATGTTAGCCAGCAGCCAGTGAGATTCCATCCCACCCCCAGTGTGTGCGCACGCAAGCTAACAGTGCTAAAAGGTAGTCATGTTCATCATGAGTGTAAGTTAACAGAGTCTGTCCATGTGGAGATGGTGAGAGGGCAGGATGGCTGATGAGTTTGGTAACCAAGTAAACTGTCCACTAATTTCTTTGCACTTTCATAATCCTTAGCCTAGCATCCTTTGCCTAGCTTTGAGCATAGCCAACAGAGCCAGTCTCCACCGACAGACTGAATGAGTGAAACAGGCTCTGATGAGGCAATAGGAATCAGCTGGTCATTAGGGGCAGGCTTGGAGGGCCTACATGTTACCTTTAATTGCATCAGATAATTAACTGCCCATAACTGCTGAGTTTGTGTCAGTATGTACATGCTAACTACCATATTAGGGTGGTCTTAAGTAACGCTCCTTACCAAGGACACCCAGGAGTCCCCAGCTGGTCAGTGATGACTTAATTGGCCAATTAAAGCAGCCCTCTCTGCTCCAGTCTGCTGCCGTGATATGAAGCCTGCCAGACTGACGCTTTCACAAGCCTGCACTGAGAGGAGAAGCAGACAGGATCCCATCTGTAACCTTCACTATAATGACTTGTTTTTGACTTCAGTCCTCACGCCAGAATGTTTTAACCCAGAGTTATTTGTATTTCAGACTAGCTCTTCTTGTCCCTAAACTAAAGCATTTTGACATGGACAGTCCAAGCTCAGTCCTGGGTTTTCAAGCAGTGATAACCTTTAGGTCTGAACTAGGTCCCCTGAGTTTTTCCTGACTACATGACCCGACTAGGAAAGACTCGTGGGGCGCTCACATGCTATCGGTAGTGGGAAATTTCACTTCAATGACCAAGTTGGAAACTCTGAAAAATGTGTTACCCGAGTTGCGATGTTTCACCACTGACCTGTCAAAAAAGGATGTCATCTTTTGGTTGAAAATGTCAATTACACCGTCAAAATTAAGCAAGCTAGCTAACTTTATTATTGGCAAAGCTAGCCCCACTAGTCCCAGCAGGTGAGCAGATCCAGTTGTCAATTCCTGACCTTTAACCTGTGCCACTCACTTGTTCTGCAGCAGCTCGTTCTCCTGGCGCAGCTGGCCCAGTTCAGAGCGGATGGAGCGCTCAGCGCTGCCCAGGGAGCCGATCTGACTGCGCAGGTCCTGCTCCACCTGTCTGCTGGCCTGCAGGTCTGCCTTCAGCTTCTTCACATCCTGCTCCAGCCTGCAGGGGTAGAGGGGGGAAGGAAAGAACATTAGGAAGAGGGGATGAAGAGGATGAGAAAGAAGTGGAGGAGAGGGGGCGAGAGAAACAATTTGATGAAGATACGGTTTCTGCATAGCGCATACACAGTAGGTTTGTATCATCCACAGTTCCTTTCTCCAGGCTTTGGCAAAGGTTTATAATGGTTTAATCTGCTCATAAGATGGTTTCAGTAGGGCCATCCTTGTACCACTTAGCTCTTTTCTGTTCTGCGGAGTGCTGCTGCGTAGTGGTTTGTATTTGGCCTGTTTTATTTCAGCTGATGGCAGATTCTCCTTTCTGGCTGTTGGCCATTTCACTGACAGTTGTTTTAGTGTTTGTCATTGGTTTTCCTTGGCCAGTGTTTTATTTTTCATGATATTCCAAATTGTTGAATAAGCTGTAACCATTTAATTATCTGTGGTTCTGAATTTTGATGGAAAGTCTCCTCTTTCAGCTTTAAAATGACTTTTCTTTCATACTAGACACAGCTTTTGTCTTTGAGTGTACAATCAATGCAACAAGCAACACTTTAACCAATAAGAAACACCCATCAGCCAAAAGTGTATACAGCAAAAACACATTTAGACTAAGCCTATAGGCTACTGTCTAGGGCCAGGACGATACCAGTATGGCGATACATTTTAGTCATTTGGCAGACGCTCTTATCCAGAGCGACTTAGTTAGTGAGTGCATACATTTTTCATACTGGCCCCCGTGGGAATCGAACCCACAACCCTGGCATTGCAAGCGCCATGCTCTACCAACTGAGCTACGTTAGTATCATGGAAAGGGAACACAAAGTGGATTTAACTACTTTAGGAAAATGGCCCTAATGTTGGAAACAAACATGTTGTCATCCAGTCACGTTTCCAAGCTATAGAACACAATATTTTATATACACAGCAGGTTTTTAAAAGGACCCGAAGAGTTAGGTCTGCTTCGCGTTTCCATGGCAAAATATTGCAATACTGGTATCGTCACAGCCCTACTACTGTCAAAATAATGTAGGCAGGGAAGCCCAAAGTTTGAGAGTGTGGTAAATGCAGTCCACACGTTACCATGACAACTTGCCACAAACACATTCATTCGACTTTCCGCTGATTTCATCGACAATCTTCCTCCCCCACACCACTGTGTCTGTCCAGCACCATCACACACCCAGCGGTATAACTACAGAGCCAAAAGGGTCAGACATTCACTACTCAAAGTTCACATTTTCAGCAAAGCATAATTTTGTGGCAAACCATAGATTCTAACAGTCCAACTTTCTCACCCCCCAGCCCAATGACATCACAGCTGAAACAGCTCTACTTCACGCCTATCTGTCTGCAGCATGGTCAGTTTGAGGTCAGGGACTGTGGTATCTGATAAAAGGGAAGCATCCCATGCAGCAATCATGCACCAGCAAGTTACTGATACTTTGGCCTGAAAATATGAGAACTGACATCCAGGCAGGAGCTACTCCTGTTCATACATTGTTGTCACAATACCAGTAGCGCAATACTAGGAAGCAAGGAAGCAAAAACATGAAGCAGACGCAATTCAAGGAAAATGTTGGAGAAAAAAAAAACAGCCTTATGTTGTCACCCAGAATCACATTTGTTTATTTTGCAAGCTATAGCTCACAATATTTTAGAAAAGTCGGTTTTAAAGGACCATAGAGTTTAATCTGCTTCGTGTTTCCTTTTTTGCCAAGGGAAATCTGATATCGTAGTAGCGATATCATCATGACAACACTAATACATATCCTTAGATTCTGAGTGTGTGTGGAGTCTCAAGCAAGCACAGCTCTGTGAGTGCATCAGGGTTTCCGTTAGCCGTAATAGCCAGCCGATATTTTTTTTGGTTGTAAAGCAGATAAATAAAATTGCCAATGGTCCAGGAGAAGAAGAAATCCCATTGCAAAAATAATGCTTTTTAGCCTATTCATTGATGGAAATACATTTGACTGGTCATGCTTATCAGTCTATAGGTTAATTTACTGAATTAAATTGGCACGTGTACAGTATATTCGTTATGGATCTTATTTATCATACACGACTCCCGAGTGGCGCAGTGGTCTAAGGCACTGCATCGCAGTGCTAGCTGTGCCACTAGAGATCCTGGTTCGAGTCCAGGCTCTGTCGCAGCCGGCTGCGACCGGGAGACCCATGGGCGGTGCACAATTGGTCCAGCGTCGTCCAAGGTACGTGAGGGTTTGGCCGGCAGGGATGTGGGTTCGTTTCCCACGGGGGGCCAGTATAAAAAAATAAAAATAAATATGCATTCACTAACTGTAAGTCGCTCTGGATAAGAGCGTCTGCTAAATGACTAAAATGTAGATGTACAGCATACAGATAGAGCCTTTGAGTGAAAAATCTGGAAGACAACGCGAGAGCTGCTGCTACAGTATCTCAAACAGCAAATGCATACAGTGCCTTCAAAAAGTATTACACCTTGACTTTTTCCACATTTTGTTGTGTTACAGTCTGAATTTAAAATTGTCAATAAGTATTCAACCCCTTTGCTATGGCAAGCCTAAATGGGTTCAGGAGTAAACATTTGCTTAACAAGTCACATAATAAGTTGCATGGACTCTGAAATAATAGTGTTTACCATGATTTTTGAATGACTACTTCATCTCTGTACCCCACTCATTCAATTATCTGTAAGGTCCCTCAGTCGAGCAGTGAATTTCAAACAGATTCAACCACAAAGACAAGGGAGGTTTTCCAATGCCTCGCAAAGGGGGGCACCTATTCGTAGATGGGTAAAAAAAAAAAGCAGACATTGAATATCCCTTTGAGCATGGTGAAGTTAGTCATTACACTTTGGATGGTGTATCAATACACCCAGTCAACTACAAAGATGCAGGCATCTTTCCTAACTCAGTTGCTGGAGAGGAAGAAAACTGCTCAGGGATTTCACCATGAGGCCAATGGTGACTTTAAAACAGTTAAGAGTTAAATGGCTGTGATAGGAGAAAACTGAGGATGGACCAACATTGTAGTTACTCCACAATACTAACCTTTACAGAAAAAAAATATTCCAAAACACATCACCGACTACCATTCCATATCTTCAAGCATGGTGGTGGCTGCATCATGTTATGCGTATGCTTGTCATCGGCAGGACTAGGGAGTTTAGGACAAAAATAAACAATAGAGCTAAGCACAGGCAAAATCCTAGAGGAAAACGTGGTTCAGTCTGCTTTCCAACAGACACTAGGAGGCAAATTCACCTTTCAGCAGGACAATAACCTAAAAAACAAAGCAAAATATAGAGGAGAGTGGAACTTAGTAATGTGTTGTATTTGCCCCAAACATAACGCTTTGTATTCAGAACAAAAAGTTTGATAGCTTAGCCAATTTTTTTTGCAGTATTACTTTAGTGCCTTGTTGCAAACAGGATGAATGTTTTGGAGGAAAAAAAACTTCTGTGCAGGCTTCCTTCTTTTCACTGTCAATTGGGTTAGTATTGTGGTGTAACTCAAATGTTGAGCCATCCTCAGTTTCCTCCTATCACAGCCATTAAACTAACTGTTTTAAAGTCACCATTGGCCTCATGGTGAAATCCCTGAGCGGTTTCCTTCCTCTCCAGCAACTGAGTTAGGAAGGACGCCTGTATCTTTGTAGTTACTTTTTTTTTGGGGGGGGGGGAATGGATCAGCTTAATATTGCAGATAGATTGTATCTTCTATCAATGTAATTGTCTGCGTCACTTCCAATCCCCCATGTTTTTTTTTTTTTTTTTTTTTTTTTATATACACACACTCCCCTTTATTACTTTTCAACCCCACCATCCTTTCCCTACTTGGAGTAAATTAGTGAACAACAATGCCCAGGCCTCTACTTCCGGTCTATAATTACTATCTACACCTTATGTTAATTTTACAATAATTATATTATATTATATATATATATATATATATATATATATATATATATATTTATTATTTTTTTGCTCCTGAACTTCTTCTACTCTCAACCTTTCCGATCATTTTCATGATGTCCAATCCGGTTTGCTCCTATATGCCATATCTTTCTAACTGTGCGCTTTCCCAAAAGCTCCCAACATACAACCTATATACTTATTATGGACACAGTATGCTTACATTATTAGATATCTTTGTTATTATTTGTTGTTATTTGTTATTAGTCCCATCCTTCAACTCTATTCAATACCTCCCATCTATCTCTTAACACCATCCATATAGGATTTCTATTTGCCATATATATTTCAACCGTACTGTGATGTTTTACAAAAGTTCTGAACCTTTCTATTCTCATTGCTTCTACAGATTGTGAATTAAAAATAAACATAGATGCCCTTCTTTGCGAGGCATTGGAAAACCTCCCTGGTCTTTGTAGTTGAATCGCAGTGTTTGAAATTCACTGCTCGACCTTACAGATAATTGAATGAGTGGGGTACAGAGATGAAGTAGTCATTCAAAAATCATGGTAAACACTATTTCACAGAGTCCATGCAACTTATTATGTGACTTGTTAACAAATGTTTACTCCTGAACCCATTCAGGCTTGCAATAACAAAGGGGTTGAATACTTATTGGCTTAAGACATCTGCTTTTTATTATTAATTGGTAAAAACATAATTCCACTTTGACATTATGGGGTATTCGGTGTAGGCCAGTGACAATCTCAATTTAATCCATTTTTAAATTCAGGCTAACAAAAAAATTTGGAAAACGTCAAGGTGTGTGAATACTTTCTGAAGGCACTAACTGATTAATGCTTAATATATGATATATAACGAAAACTTACACTGCCATAAATGCAAGGACAGAAAATGTGTGTTTTATGTCACACGATTTTGGACAAATCTGTCAAGACACCAACCATGAGAATGGGTTAAACATAGACTTTAAAATCAACTCGTGAATTATTGAATATAGCTATGATCACCCCGTTATATCTTAAATGTAATGACATGAAAAAAATGGCTGATATCATCAATGGCTTAACAGCTGTAACAAGTCGTCAAGTGTAGGAAATCCTCAATGGTAACCTAGTTTATACAAAGACCCTCTTACCGTAGGAGTGCCTCAGGCTTGCTTAGCTGATTGTTGGGGATGCAGTTGTCTGTTGGGTCCCTGTGGGAGCCTACTGCTGGACCCTTCCCCGCTGCACACTTCTGCTTCTTCCCCCATGAAAAGGAGGAAGGGGCTGATGATGGGACGCTGCCGTTGGTGACGCAGTGTCCGCAGGGCAAGGAGTTGACGGCCGCGTTTCCGCTGGAGTTCTTGTAGTTTTTCGAGGACGATGAGCAGGAGGAAGAGTTCTCCTCCTTTAGCATCAGGTTCTCTGTACTGTCCACCAGCTCTGTGGTAAGTCTATTATTGTTCATATGGTTCTCCATGTACTCCATCTCCTGGAGTTTAGAGTCTACCGATGACGGCAGGATGCTGTTGTGTTGCTTTTTGGCCTCGCGGCCCTCTTTCCCTTTCTCTCTGTACTCCAGCTCCAGGAGCGAAGCTGCCGTCTTTTTACTGGCAGGGGCGCCATTCTGTGAGACTGGGGTGGAGTCCATCACAGATATCCCTTTAGCTACTGCAGCTGAATGGAGGGTGGAAGTAAGAAAGGAAAGAATGAAAGAGTGAGATTAAATGCATATTTGACCACCTTCACTTGGACTGTGTCTGGAGCGTCGGTTGTGTGCGTCTCTCACCTTCCTCTGCCTCCCTTTCCTGTCTCTGGAGCATCTGTTGCTCTGGGGGCAGGGCCTGCTGCAGGAGCTGCATGTAGAACTCATTCTCCTTCTGCACCTCTTTCTGCCTTCTTAAGCGCATCTTATAGCTGACATAGCTCTTGAATCCAAAGCCCAGCGTCACCATTGGGTAGCCAATGCTACAGACATATGGAGAGAGACCAAAGTTCAGACAACTCATCCTGCCTTACGCATCACAAGACAAACTGGTTCACAAGTTGAGAAGCATAGGTGCTATGAAAAAAAGCCTTGAGATAAATATCACTCCAGAAAGTAAAGCTGGAGGAATGACTTGCCCTAATATCCTGCATTACTACAAAACAGCTCAATTACAGCACATAATACAGGCTAAACTCTAAATCCACACAAAGGTCTTAAAGAGTACTTAGATTATAAACGTAGGTATTTTCAACCCAACAGTGGTGTATGACCTTACAGATCTGGGGCAGAAATATTCCTTAAACCATCTTAGAATATGTATGCTTTTTAATAGTAATACAGACTGAATGAAACCAGCATGCAGTCTTTTTCTCTTTGTGGAAAGTGGAGTCTGAGCATAGGGGATATCCAGGCATCATTATTTGTATATTATGCCTAACAAGCTGAAATAATATTGTTTTCTGAGAGTCAAATGAGGCAGAACACTCCCCTACGGAATCTTAGCCCATCTTCCTCACAGATCCACACATGTAGCCTAGACAAAGACCTGCCAGGGCTTGGACAAAACACTTGACTTAATCTTACCAATGTGCAGCGAATGGGCGACACAAGTCGACATGGAAGTTCTTCAGGTCTTTGAATCTGATGGCTGCCTCTATGTACACAAAGAGTATCCAAAGAGACACTGTGGGGAGACAGACCCCTCTCTCTGTGGAAGCAAAAGAGATGTATTAGAACAGGAAAGACTACTGGTCATAACCACACATCTACATGAAAAATGATACATGCAGATTTACTTCCTCTGAACATGAAACCAGGGGCTTACACTGTGGTCAGTACAGCAGCATCCCTCACCAGACAAAGAACAAGCATCACAACAGCAGCAGAGTAGATCAGCGTTTGAGTGACGAAGTGAGACACACAACCACAAAAGGACAGCTTTTCAATAGTGATTGTTACATATCGCTGTTACGTTCCCCAGCAAGAAAACCAAAAGTTGCCGCTCAAACAGAAGGGGGAACTAACAGAGTCACTGACAACCAAAACAAAACAGGTGGGGTTCTACGAGGGGTTCTGAAAGACACTCATGGGGATGTCCACTGAAAGTTGACTAGCAACAACAACTGGGACCCACGACACCCACCATGAGCGCCCACTAAATTTGCCCAAGAAAGAGGCAAACAAAAGAAAAGCCCACACCAAACTTAAAGACAGGAAGCAAACCAAAACGTGGAGCAAAAATGAAAACAGGGACGATCAGATAAAATAGGGCGCACCAACCAAAGGTGTTGACCCTCCACATCTCAAGACAACTAGAAGACTGTGCCAGCCACTCTTAAATATCCCCTGTGCCAACACAGGTGAAACGCCTTCTGACTAAAGAGATGACAAGCCAGCACAGGTGTAAAACATACTGCATAACGAGGTGAAACCAAATCGGTGTGCCCAACGTGCAACCTCGAAATATAAATGGAAAAACCAAAGGCCGTAACAATCGCAATATTATTTTTGGACAATATAAAAAAAAATTGAATAATCTAGCTTGTCAATGTAGGTAACTCCAGTTGAGTACATTCGGAAAGTATTCAGACCCCTAGACTTTTTCCCAAATGTTACGTTACAGCCTTATTCTAAAATTGATTAAATTTGTATTTTCCTCATCAATCTACACACAATACCCCATAATGACAAAGCAAAAACAGTTTACATGTTTTGCACATTTATATAATTCAATAAAAACTGAAATATCACATTTACATAACTATTCAGACCCTTTACTCAGAACTTTGTTGAAGCACCTTCGGCAGCGATTACAGCCTCAAGTCTTCTTGGGTATGATGCTACAAGCTTGGCACACCTGTATTTGGAGAGTTTCTCCCATTCTTCTCTGCAGATCCTCTCATGCTCTGTCAGGTTGGATGGGGAGCGTCACTTCACAGCTATTTTCAGGTCTCTCCAGAGATGTTCGATCGGATTCAAGTCCGGGCTCTGGCTGGGTCACTCAAGGACATTAAGAGACTTGTCCCGAAGCCACTCCTGTGTTGTCTTGGCTGTGTGCTTAGGGTTGTTGTCCTGTTGGAAGGTGAACCTTTGCCCCAGTCTGAGGTCCTGAGCACTCTGGAGCAGGTTTTAATCAAGGATCTCTGTACTTTGCTCCGTTAATCTTTCCCTCAATTCTGACTAATCTCCCAGTCCCTGCCGCTGAAAAACATCCCCACAGCATGATACTGCCACCACCATGCTTCACCGTAGGGATGGTGCCAGGTTTCCTCCAGATGTGACGCCTGGCATTCAGGCCAAAGAGTTCAATCTTGGTTTCTCATGGTCTGAGAGTCCTTTAGGTGCCTTTTGGCAAACTCCAAGCGGGCTGTCATGTGCCTTTTACTGAGGAGTGGCTTCGGTCTGGCCACTCTACCATAAAGACCTGATTGGTTGAGAGCTGTAGAGATGGTTGTCCTTCTGGAATGTTCTCCCATCTCCACAGAGGAACTCTGGAGCTCTGTCAGAGTGACCATCGGGTTCTTGGTCACCTCCCTGACCAGGGCCCTTCTCCCCCGATTGCTCAGTTTGGCTGGGCGGCCACCTCTAGAAAGGGTCTTGGTGGTTCCAAACGTCTTCCATTTAAGAATGATGTAGACCACTGTGTTCTTGGGGACCTTCAATGCTGCAGACATTTTTTTGGTACCCTTCCCCAGATCTGTACTTCGACACAATTCTGTCTCGGAGCTCTAGGGACAATTTCTTCAACCTCATGGCTTGGTTTTTGCTTAGACATGCACTGTCAACTGTGGGACCTTATATAGACAGGTGTGTGCCTTTCCAAATCATGTCCAATTTAATTTATCACAGGTGGACTCCAATCAAGTTGTAGAAACATCTCAAGGATGATCAATGGAAACAGGATTCACCTGAGCTCAAATTCGAGTCTCATAGCAAAGATTCTGAATACTTATGTAAATAAGGTATTTCTGTTTTTAATACATTTGCAAACATTTCTAAAAAACATATTTTGCTTTGTCATTATGGGGTATTGTGTGTAGGTTGAGGAAAATCATGTATTTAATAAAATGTTAGAGTAAAGCCATAACATAACAAAATGTGGAAAAAGGGAAGGGGTCTGAATACTTTCCGAATGCACTGTATGTGCTCCGTGTATACTAATGCTGGTGCCTCACTCCAAAGAAATAGTATTGTGAGATTTGATCCTGTGACCCTCCTGTCACTAGTTCCATTTCTTTACAGCTAGGCTTAAATAGTGCAATACAGTGATCATAGTCTTTATACCCACACACTAATTCACCGTAATCGTTAAGGTGTTTCCCCTCATTAAAAAAGGCAGGTGAGTAGGAGGGCTTACCTGTGTGCCACACGTACTGCACCCACACGTAGGTACTGGCAGCGAAGAACAGCCATTGTACTGGGATGAAGAGCAGGCATATGATGTCAGAGGTGAACGCCACACACACAAAGAACACTGAGAATGCCTGGAAGAGAGGAGATGTGAGGGGGGTAAGTAGGAGATCTGCCAAAACACAAAAAAAACACATTGCTACCAACAATTAGAGAGATGTGGGTCACATTATCCACATCAACATTTATTGCTTGATGATTAATCACAAGTTAAATACAAAACATTTGCAAAAGACATCAAAGCCTCCACTTAAATTGACTACGCTACTTTTTTTTACAGTTCGCAAGTCCGAAAAAAAGTCAGCCGAGCCCTCTCGCTAGAATGAAAAACATGCATCTTCTAGTGATCTATTGATTGGACAGGCGCCTGTCAGTCAAAGTGAGCGATGACAGGGAAATACTGCTGATTTGACAGTCTGCTGTCTGTCCCGCCTCCTGGTACCTGGGCATGTGTGTGTTGTGTACTCTGTGGTTGCAGTCAAATTTCTTTACACAGAGGGAGAGACCATGTACTTGTGGAAAACACTGATTTGGGGGGGGGTGAAATATTATGTAAATATTTTGAAAACAAGGCAGCACTAGAGAAGGGCTTAGGCTAGATGTTGTTCACAGAAGCTCCACAGGCCTGCTCTTTAGACCACAGATCAGTCAGGCCAACCCAGGAGACAGCCAGACAGACACTCACCAGCCCCTGGTATCTGAAGGAGTCGTACACACTTCTGATGAAGAGCCAGAAAGGCCACAGGTACTCAAATCTGAACTCGAGCACAAAGTCTGCCAGCAGCACCAGTACCCACACCACAAGGAACTTCAGGTACAGGAAGGTACTGGATAGGAGAGACCGAGAGAAGAGACATTCATGAATTTGTGTGTCCAACATCAAAACCATTTTTCAATAAGACTGGATTGTGTAAAGGTGTGGGCTCTAAAAAGCACCTGATCAAAAACTAAAGGATTAGCTACTCCACCTCTAACCTATTCCTAGATGCCAACTACCTTAAGCGCCTACTGACGATAGTATTTTCTGGCCGGGGGAGTTTTGTTAAGAGCCCCGACACACATTCTGAACGTTAAGACACAGCGATTGCGGTACGGTTTCGGAAACATAATGAAATTTATTTATTTATTTTTTATTTCACCTTTATTTAACCAGGTAAGCCAGTTGAGAACAGGTTCTCATTTACAACTGCGACCTGGCCAAGATAAAGCAAAGCAGTGCAATAAAAACAACACAGAGTTACATATGGGGTAAAAAAACAAAGTCAAAAATACAACAGAAAATATATATACAGTGTGTGCAAATGTAGCAAGTTATGGAGGTAAGGCAATAAATAGGCTATAGTGCAAAAATAATTACAATAGTATTAACACTGGAATGCTAGATGTGCAAGAGATTATGTGCAAATAGAGATACTGGGGTGCAAAAGAGCAAAATAAATAACAATATAGGGATGAGGTAGTTGGGTGGGCTAATTTCATGTATGTATACAAAATGGTGTCGTCTGCGTAGAGGTGGATCTGAGAGTCACCAGCAGCAAGAGCGACATCATTGATATACACGGAGAAAAGTGTCGGCCCAAGAATTGAACCCTGTGGCACCCCCATAGAGACTGCCATAGGTCCAGACAACAGGCCCTCCGATTTGACACACTGAACTCTATCTGAGAAGTAGTTGGTGAACCAGGCGAGGCAGTCATTTGAGAAACCAAGGCTATTTAGTCTGCCAATAAGAATGCGGTGGTTGACAGAGTCGAAAGCCTTGGCCAGGTCGATGAAGACGGCTGCACAGTACTGTCTATTATCAATCGCGGTTATAATATCGTTTAGGACCTTGAGCGTGGCTGAAGTGCACCCATGACCAGCTCGGAAACCGGATTGCATAGCGGAGAAGGTACGGTGGTATTCGAAATGGTCGGTGATCTGTTTGTTAACTTGGCTTTCAAATACTTTCGAAAGGCAGGGCAGGATGGATATAGGTCTGTAGCAGTTTGGATCTAGAGTGTCACCCCCTTTGAAGAGGGGGATGACCGCGGCAGCTTTCCAATCTCTGGGGATCTCAGACGTTATGAAAGAGAGGTTGAACAGACTAGTAATAGGGGTTGCGACAATTTCGGCGGCTAGTTTTAGAAAGAAAGGGTCCAGATTGTCTAGCCCAGCTGATTTGTAGGGGTCCAGATTTTGCAGCGCTTTCAAAACATCAGCTGTCTGAATTTGTGTGAAGGAGAAGCGGGGGGGGCATGGGCAAGTTGCAGCGGAGGGTGCAGAGTTGGTGGCCGGGGTAGTGGTAGCCAGATGGAAAGCATGGCCAGCTGTAGCAAAATGCTTGTTGAAATTCTCGATTATTGTAGATTTATCGGTGGTGATAGTGTTTCCTAGCCTCAGTGCAGTGGGCAACTGGGAGGAAGTGCTCTTATTCTCCATGGACTTTACAGTGTCCCAAAACGTTTTGGAGTTAGTGCTACAGGATGCAAATTTCTGTTTGAAAAAGTTAGCCTTTGCTTTCCTGACTGCTTGTGTATATTGGTTCCTAACTTCCCTGAAAAGTTGCATATCGCAGGGGCTATTTGATGCTAATGCAGTACGCCACAGGATGTTTTTGTGCTGGTCAAGGGCAGTCAAGTCTGAGGAGAACCAGGGGCTATATCGGTTCTTAGTTCTGTATTTTTTGAATGGGGCATGTTTATTTAAGATTGAGAGGAAATTACTTTTAAGGAACAACCAGGCATCCTCTACTGACGGAATGAGATCTATATCCATCCAGGATACCTGGGCCAAGTCAATTAGGAAGGCCTGCTCGCTAAAGTGTTTTAGGGAGCGTTTGACAGTGATGAGGGGTGGTCGTTTGACCGCGGACCCGTTACGGACGCAGGCAATAAGGCAGTGATCGCTGAGATCCTGGTTGAAGACAGCTGAGGTGTATTTAGAGGGTATGTTAGTCAGGATGATATCTATGAGGGTACCCATGTTTACGGATTTAGGGTTGTACCTGGTAGGTTCGTTGATAATTTGCGTGAGGTTGAGGGCATCTAGTTTGGATTGTAGGATGGCCGGGGTATTAAGCATATCCCAATTTAGGTCACCAAGCAGTACGAACTCTGAGGATAAATGGGGGGGCAATCAATTCACATATGGTGTCCAGGGCACAGCTGGGGGCTGAGGGGGGTCTGTAGCAAGCAGCAACAGTGAGAGACTTATTTCTGGAAAGGTGGATTTTTAGAAGTAGAAGCTCAAACTGTTTGGGCACAGACCTGGATAGTATGATAGATCTTTCATATCAGCAATTACTACACACCTTTATACAGTTAGTGTTCATGGCTTGACATTCAGGTAAATTTGCCTGTGGCACCAGCTGAGTACAAAGTGAAAACTACTGGCCCGAATGAGAAAATAACTGGCCCGGGCCAAGATCACAGGAAAGCAAGTTATGCATGCAGAATTTCAATCATGTGATTTCATGTTTCATTTGCAGTCTGGGAAAGTACCTTATAGCCTATGGCCAACCATTCAATCTGATATTTAAACTGATTTTAGTTTGGAATTTTTTTATAAAACCACCCCCCCCCCCCATGATGACATATAGCCTTAACATATGAAACCGTTTAAAATGTAATGTTCCCCTCCAGAAACAAGCCCAATAACATATTCATGAAAAGTTAAATGTTTAGGTCCTGTACATGGTGCATATTGTATGCATGTGTGCTATTTTAGCAAAAAGCATCATCACCTGTAGCCTGATACAGCATTTTGGCTAGACTGGCTACATGGCTGAAGCATGGGGTTGCTCATCTACATTATTTACCCCAATGGGCTAATCATTCTCTAGATCAGACTCTAAATATTTTCATGTTGCTTTTTTTTTTTTTTTTTACTGTTTAATGTAATTGTGAATATAGACCTACCGTTTATGCACATGGCCATGATGCACTTCTGCGGTTACTTTTAATTTCAAATCAAATCAAATTTTATTGGTCACATGCGCCGAATACAACAGGTGCAGACATTACAGTGAAATGCTTACTTACAGCCCTTAACCAACAGTGCATTTATTTTAAACAAAAAAAGTAAAAATAAAACAAAATAAAAGTGTTGAGAAAAAAAAGAGCAGAAGTAAAATAAAGTGACAGTAGGGAGGCTATATATACAGGAGGGATACCGTTGCAGAGTCAATGTGCGGGGGCACTGGCTAGTTGAGGTAATATGTACATGTGGGTAGAGTTAAAGTGACTATGCATAAATACTTAACAGAGTAGCAGCAGCGTAAAAAGGATGGGGTGGGGGGGCAGTGCAAATAGTCCGGGTAGCCATGATTAGCTGTTCAGGAGTCTTATGGCTTGGGGGTAGAAGCTGTTGAGAAGTCTTTTGGACCTAGACTTGGCACTCCGGTACCGCTTGCCGTGCGGTAGCAGAGAGAACAGTCTATGACTAGGGTGGCTGGAGTCTTTGACAATTTTGAGGGCCTTCCTCTGACACAGCCTGGTATAGAGGTCCTGGATGGCAGGAAGCTTTGCCCCAGTGATGTACTGGGCCGTACGCACTACCCTCTGTAGTGCCTTGCGGTCGGAGGCCAAGCAGTTGCCATACCAGGCGGTGATGCAACCAGTCAGGATGCTCTCGATGGTGCAGCTGTAGAATTTTTTGAGGATCTGAGGACCCATGCCAAATCTTTTTAGTCTCCTGAGGGGGAATAGGCTTTGTCGTGCCCTCTTCACGACTGTCTTGGTGTGTTTGGACCATGATAGTTCGTTGGTGATGTGGACACCAAGGAACTTGAAGCTCTCAACCTGTTCCACTACAGCCCCGTCGATGAGAATGGGGGCGTGCTCAGTCCTCTTTTTTTTCCTGTAGTCCACAATCATCTCCTTTGTCTTGGTCACGTTGAGGGAGAGGTTGTTGTCCTGGCACCACACGGCCAGATCTCTGACCTCCTCCCTATAGGCTGTCTCATCGTTGTCGGTGATCAGGCCTACCACTGTTGTGTCGTCGGCAAACTTAATGATGGTGTTGGAGTCGTGCCTGGCCATGCAGTCATGGGTGAACAGAGAGTACAGGAGGGGACTGAGCACGCACCCCTGAGGGGCCCCCGTGTTGAGGATCAGTGTGGCAGATGTGTTGTTACCTACCCTTACCACCTGGGGGCGGCCCGTCAGGAAGTCCAGGATCCAGTTGCAGAGGGAGGTGTTTAGTCCCAGGGTCCTTAGCTTAGTGATGAGCTTAGAGGGCACTATGGTGTTGAATGCTGAGCTGTAGTCAATGAATAGCATTCTCACGTAGGTGTTCCTCTTGTCCAGGTGGGAAAGGGCAGTGTGGAGTGCAATAGAGATTGCATCATCTGTGGATCTGTTGGGGCGGTATGCAAATTGGAGTGGGTCTAGGGTTTCTGGGATAATGCTGTTGATGTGAGCCATGACCAGCCTTTCAAAGCACTTCATGGCTACAGACGTCAGTGCTACGGGTCGGTAGTCATTTAGGCAGGTTATCTTAGAGTCCTTGGGCACGGGGACTATGGTGGTCTGCTTGAAACATGTTGGTATTACAGACTCAGTCAGGGACATGTTGAAAATGTCAGTGAAGACACTTGCCAGTTGGTCAGCACATGCTCGGAGTACACGTCCTGGTAATCCGTCTGGCCCTGCGGCCTTGTGAATGTTGACCTGCTTAAAAGTCTTACTCACATCGGCTACGGAGAGCGTGATCACATAGTCATCCGGAACAGCTGGTGCTCTCATGCATGCTTCAGTGTTGCTTGCCTCGAAGCGAGCATAGAAGTGGTTTAGCTCATCTGGTAGGCTTGTGTCACTGGGCAGCTCGCGGCTGTGCTTCCCTTTGTAGTCTGTAATAGTTTTCAAGCCCTGCCACATCCGACGAGCGTCAGAGCCAGTGTAGTACGATTCAATCTTAGACCTGTATTGACTCTTTGCCTGTTTGATGGTTCGTCGGAGGTCATAGCGGGATTTCTTATAAGCGTCCGGGTTAGAGTCCCGTTCCTTGAAAGCGGCAGCTCTACCCTTTAGCTCAGTGCGGATGTTTCCTGTAATCCATGGCTTCTGGTTGGGGTATGTACGTACGGTCACTGTGGGGACGACATCATCGATGCACTTATTGATGAAGCCAGTGACTGATGTGGTGTACTCCTCAATGCTGTCTGAAGAATCCCGGAACATGTTCCAGTCTGTGCTAGCAAAACAGTCCTGTAGCTTAGCATCTGCGTCATCTGACCACTTTTTTATTAACCGAGTCACTGGTGCTTCCTGCTTTAGTTTTTGCTTATAAGCAGGAATCAGGAGGATAGAGTTATGGTCAGATTTGCCAAATGGAGGGCGAGGGAGAGCTTTGTATGCGTCTCTGTGTGTGGAGTAAAGGTGGTCTAGAGTTTTTTTCCCTCTGGTTGCACATTTAACATGCTGGTAGAAATTAGGTAGAACAGATTTAAGTTTCCCTGCATTAAAGTCCCCGGCCACTAGGAGCGCTGCATCTGGATGAGCGTTTTCCTGTTGATTAATGGCCTTGTACAACTCATTCAGTGCAATCTTAATGCCAGCATTGGTTTGTGGTGGTAAATAGACAGCTATGAAAAATATAGATGAAAACTCTCTTGGTAAATAGTGTGGTCTACAGCTTATCATAAGATACTCTACCTCAGGCGAGCAAAACCTCGAGACTTCCTTAGTATTTGATTTTGTGCACCAGCTATTGTTTACAAATATACACAGACTGCCACCCCTTGTCTTACCGGAGTCAGCCGTTCTGTCCTGCCGATGTAGCGTATAGCCTGCTAGCTGAATGTTATCATTGTCGTCGTTCAGCCACGACTCGGTGAAACATAATATATTACAGTTTTTAATGTCCCGTTGGTAGGATAACCGTAATCTTAAGTCGTCCACTTTATTTTCAAAAGATTGAACGTTGGCTAATAGGATTGATGGAAGAGGCAGTTTACTCGCTCGCAGTCGGATCCTTACAAGGCACCCCGATCTCCGTCCACGATATCTCCGTCTCTTCCTCACGCGAATGACGGGGATTTGGGCCTTGTCGGGTGTCTGTATGATATCCTTCGCGGCCGCCTCGTTGAAGAAAAAATCTTCGTCCAATACGAGGTGAGTAATCGCTGTCCTGATATCCAGAAGCTCTTTTTGGTTATAAGAGAAGATGGCAGAAACATTATGTACAAAATAAATTACAAATAACGCGGAAAAACACACATAATAGTACAATTGGTTAGAGGGCTGTAAAACGGCAGCCATCTTCTCCGGCGCAGCCTACAAAACATCTAGAACAGTTAATGCACATTGACATTTCTGCTGGCTGAATTAAATGTGTTTAGTTATCTGAATGATGATAGGGTGCAATGTTGGCAAATAAGCTGCAAAAAGGGGTGGTTTACTGCTACTAATATCCCCTTCATGTGCAGACCAAAATCACACTAATTTACAATGCCTGCATTTTATACCTGCTTTTTCGTATATCTGAAAGGGGTAGGGGGTAAAACATGGAAAAATAAAAGCCACCTAAAGTCCTAGTCATGATTCCTGCATTTTCACAGACCCTGTAACTAAAATACAGGTATCAGGTCTGCGTGAATGGTTCTCTGCTTTTTTTGTAGGAAAATTAATGAACACTTCCATTGTTTAACAGGGGTGTCAAACTCATTCCACGGAGGGCCGAGTGTCTGCGGGTTTTAGTTTTTTCCTTTCAATTAAGACCTAGACAACCAGGTGAGGGGAGTTCCTTACTAATTAGCGACCTTAATTCATCAATCAAGTACAAGGGTGGAGTGAAAACCAGAAGACACTCAGCCCTACGTGGAATGAGTTTGACACCTCCCTAATTTGAACTGCAAACAGCCCCCTAGCGGACTAAACTCCACGGTGAAGGAAGTTTATGATGAACTTCACCAACCGAGTGGAGCAGAGACCAGGCTTGGTGGAATCTAGCTCTGATTACGTCGATTCGCCCAAGGTCAATACTTCAAAAAATTTAAATCATGAAAACGCCGACCTTGTACCCATGTTTGTCCTCTGTAGTTGCGTGCCTTTGTTTGCTGAAATCCATATTTTTTTCTCCAATAAACGTTAATCAAATACAACTACCGACTTTTTGCTCGTTTCTGTTTCTCAAACATGACGTCGGCCTAGGTCTCCAAATTATCACTGTGTGATTTGATTGAACAATCTACAGATGGTGTGTCAACCAATCAAGTATCACAGATCATTACAGGTGCCAGTAAACACTACATTTTGCGCATAACTTTCACTTGACTATTTGTCCAGAGATGCTGAGAGAGAAATCTTTTCTCTTCATATTACAATCATTTTATAGCCTAGGTTTCATTTACAAACGTCACCGGAGCGCCAGGTCTAGGTCCAAAAGGCTCCTTAACAGCTTCTACCCCCAAGCCATAAGACTGCTGAACTATTAATCAAATGGCTACCCGGACTATTTGCATTGACCCCCCCATTATTATTTTTTTCACACACTGCTGCTACTCGCTGTTTATTATCTATGCATAGTCACTTTACCCCTACCCCCTGTATATAGCCTCGTTGGGTTTTTTTTTTTACTTTAGTTTATTTCAGAATTATTTTCTTAACTGCATTGTTGGTTAAGGGCTTGTAAGTAAGCATTTCACGGCAAGGTCTACTACACCTGTTGTATTCGGCGCATGTGACAAATAGATTTTGATTTGGTCATCCATGAGCATTAGCGCTGAGTTGCCATCTTCGAGAAACAGAAACGAGCAAAAAAAGTTGGTGGTTGTATTTGATTAACGTTTATTGAAAAATTCTTGATTTCAGCAAACAAAGGCACGCAAACATAGGTGACCGTTTCATGATTTATATTTTAAGTATTTATAAGTATTGATTGACCTTGGGCGAATCGATCCAATCGGAGCTAGATTCCACAAAGCCTGGTCTCTGCTCCACTCAGTTGAAGTTCAAACTTCCTTCACCGTGGAGTTTAGTCCGCCAACAGCCCCCATGATTTAACACCCACCACCCTTCCCAATTTACCAGTTACCCACTGATGTATGAAAGGGTTATACCTGCAAATAAGTGGTAAATAAGGGGCTGTTTGAAAGGGGTCCTCAACATTGCCTTTTTTTTTTACTGGTAACATTCAACAGCTTTGTCTGAAATTGGTATAACTGTTCCATACCCCAGCAGCTAGTAGCCTATCTTCGTAGGGTGAACTTAGCTAGCTAACGCTGCTGCCTCCAGTTCTAGCTAGCTAGCTACTTAAGACAACAATATGGGATAAATACAGTTAATCGAGATGCCTAATTGAAGCAGGTGTGTTAAAGACAGCCCCAAGCTATTTCTTGGGGCCTATCAATGGCTAGTAGCCTAACATTACATCAAATAATTTATACCTCTCCGTTTAGCTATTCTGTCCACAAATATAGTAGCTAGCCAATTTCACTTGAATGTCAGTGTGACATTTTACATTAGGAGAGACACAGTAACTAGATACTTGCTGACAACCCAGCCCTGCAATGAGGGAGTCTTACAACCCCCCTTATGGACGTGAGAACCCATCGCTAGGCTTCATATACCTGCCGTATATTCCCTCGGTGATTCGGTTCCGTTTTAACGGCCGTCGGAGTTTGCTGCAGTCCGCATTGCGCCGCTTCATCCTCCCCTCCTTCGCTTTGGCTTTTGAATTCCTACGGTAATCTTATCCCGTTTTCTTGTGTGGGAAGACAAAGGCAATAAATTAAGTTCCTGTGAAATATATCGCTGTAATTATTTTTCTACTGGAAACATCAATAAATCAAACTATTTTCAAGAACCTCCTCTTTTCTCTCAGCGCAGGCTCACGCTATAATTTACGTCTGTCAGGTTATGAGACAGCCGGTTTATCCAATCACCGTATTTGCCAAAGCCTTTCATTTTGATTGACGCAAAGATGAGCCATTTATATTGCTCGTGTCCACCTAAAACGAGAGAGCGAGTCAGAGGCCGTGTTCGAGATGATCAAAACCGTAATGTATCACGGGTAAATTGTGACTGACTGACTGATCTAAAAATAATAATGAGAAGTTATTTATGATACAAGGTTCTTTGTAAATCAGTCAGGTCGGCAGTCGCCTGCATTGTCGGCAGCAACATCGAACAATATGCACGCATGACTGTAAGTCGCTTTGGATAAAAGCGTCTGCTAAATGGCATATTAAATTAAATTTAAACAAGCCCAGGGAGTTCTATTAACCTGAGCAGCTGTACGTGTGTTTGTCCTGAACAACATTTAGCGTGAGCAACAATAGTGGAATCGGCGGTTCGCCTTCAAAATAAAAGTTTCCCATTGAAACTGACGCAAAAGGATAGAAATTGTGAAAACATGCCACAATTGTACTAGATAATGCTAAACCAGGTTGGAATGTTATTATATATATTCAACAAAAGATAAGTAGGCTTATCAGTTGAAATCACATTGTGGATGTATTTGAATTCAGAATTGCATTGGGGCATACTTATATGTCAGTCTATTGTGTGTATTGGACATTCATAGTGCACTGTACAGCCTAACCAATGCATTGTGCACCAGTGGCGGTCAGAGCCGTTTTTTTCATGAGCATGTCCTTAATTCTCTTACAGCATAGTGGATGACTGTCATTTATATTCCATTCACCCAGTTCAATGTAACAGCGATAGGTTTAGGCTACTACATGATACTCACATTTTCCCAATACCCATCATGAAGTTGCTACAACCTAGCCTATGAATGAAAGTTTACAACGTACAGTGAGGGAAAAAAGGTATTTGATCCCCTGCTGATTTTGTACGTTTGCCCACTGACAAAGACATGATCAGTCTATAATTTAAATGGTAGGTTTATTTTGAATAGTGAGAGACAGAATAACAACAAAAAAATCCAGAAAAACGCATGTCAAAAATTTTATAAATTGATTTGCATTCTAATGAGGGAAATAAGTATTTGACCCCTCTGCAAAACATGACTTAGTACTTGGTGGCAAAACCCTTGTTGGCAATCACAAAGGTCAGACGTTTCTTGTAGTTGGCCACCAGGTTTGCACACATCTCAGGAGGGATTCTCAGGAGGGATTCTGTTCCACTCCTCTTTGCAGATCTTCTCCAAGTCATTAAGGTTTTGAGGCTGACGTTTGGCAACTCGAACCTTCAGCTCCCTCCACAGATTTTCTATGGGATTAAGGTCTGGAGACTGGCTAGGCCACTCCAGGAGGTTAATATGCTCCTTCTTGAGCCACTCCTTTGTTGCCTTGGCCGTGTGTTTTGGGTCATTGTCATGCTGGAATACCCATCCACGACCCATTTTCAATGCCCTGGCTGAGGGAAGGTAGGTTCTCACCCAAGACTTGACGGTACATGGCCCCGTCCATCGTCCCTTTGATGCAGTGAAGTTGTCCAGTCCCCTTAGAAGAAACCCCCCCCCAAAGCATTATGTTTCCACCTCCATGTTTGACGGTGGGGATGGTGTTCTTGGGGTCATAGGCAGCATTCCTCCTCCTCCAAACACGGCGAGTTGAGTTGATGCCAAAGAGCTCGATTTTGGTCTCATCTGACCACAACACTTTCACCCAGTTCTCCTCTGAATCATTCAGATGTTCATTGGCAAACTTCAGACGGCCCTGTATATGTGCTTTCTTGAGCAGGGGGACCTTGCGGGCACTGCAGGATTTCAGTCCTTCACGGCGTAGTGTGTTACCAATTGTTTTCTTGGTGACTATGGTCCCAGCTGCCTTGAGATCATTGACAAGATCTTCCCGTGTAGTTCTGGGCTGATTCCTCACCGTTCTCATGATCATTGCAACTCCACGAGGTGAGATCTTGCATGGAGCCCCAGGCCGAGGGAGATTGACAGTTATTTTGTGTTTCTTCCATTTGCGAATAATCGCACCAACTGTTGTCACCTTCTCACCAAGCTGCTTGGCGATGGTCTTGTAGCCCATTCCAGCCTTGTGTATGTCTACAATCTTGTCCCTGACATCCTTGGAGAGCTCTTTGGTCTTGGCCATGGTGGAGAGTTTGGAATCTGATTGATTGCTTCTGTGGACAGGTGTCTTTTATACAGTTAACAAACTGAGATTAGGAGCACTCCCTTTAAGAGTGTGCTCCTAATCTCAGCTTGTTAACTGTATAAAAGACACCTGGGAGCCAGAAATCTTTCTGATTGAGAGGGGGTCAAATACTTATTTCCCTCATTAAAATACAAATCAATTTATAACATTTTTGACATGCGTTTTTCTGGATTTTGTTGTTGTTATTCTGTCTCTCACTGTTCAAATAAACCTACCATTAAAATTATAGACTGATAATTTCTTTGTCAGTGGGCAAACGTACAAAATCAGCAGGGGATCAAATACTTTTTTCCCTCACTGTAGGTGCACACAGGTCGAGAGAAAAATTAAATACCGCCTTGCACACTCTTGCCTGCATCTAGCTGATCTAGGGTGTAATCACTAGTCCCAACATTTGCAAACAAGAGTTTATATTGGACAGATTCAGGTACAGTTGAAGTCGGAAGTTTACATACACTTAGGTTGGGGTCATTAAAACTTGTTTGTCAACCACTCCACAAATTTCTTGTTAACAAACTATAGTTTTAGCAAGTCGGTTAGGACATCTACTTTGTGCATGACACAAGTAATTTTTCCAACAATTGTTTACAGCCAGATTATTTCAATAATAATTCACTGTATCACAATTCCAGTGGGTCAGAAGTTTACATACACTAAGTTGACTGTGCCTTTAAACAGCTTGGAAAATTCAGGAAAATTATGTAATGGCTTTAGAAGCTTCTGATAGGCTAATTGACATCATTTGAGTCAATTGGAGGTGTACCTGTGGATGTATTTCAAGGCCTACCTTCAAACTCAGTGCCTCTTTGCTTGACATCATGGGAAAATGAAAATAAATCAGCCAAGACCTCAGAAAAAAAATTTGTAGACCTCCACAAGTCTGGTTCATCCTTGGGAGCAATTTCCAAATGCCTGAAGGTACCACATTCATCTGTACAAACAATAATACGCAAGTATAAACACCATGGGACCATGCAGCCGTCATACCGCTCAGGAAGGAGACGTGTTCTGTCTCCTAGAAATGAACGTACTTTGATGCGAAAAGTGCAAATCAATCCCAGAACAACAGCAAAGGACCTTGTAAAGATGCTGGAGGAAACAGGTACAAAAGTATCTATATTCACAGTAAAACAAGTCCTATATTGACATATCCTGAAAGGCCGCTCAGCAAGGAAGAAGCCACTGCTCCATAACCGCCATAAAAAAAACAGACTACGGTTTGCAACTGCACATGTGTCACGCCCTGGCTCTAGGGACTTTTAAGTTGAGCCAGGGTGTGTAGAGTTTATGTTTGTGCTCGTTGTGTCTAGTCTAGTTTTGGTATATCTATGTTGGCCAGAGTGGTTCTCAATCAGAGGCAATGAGTATCAGCTGTTGCTGGTTGTCTCTGATTGGGAACCATATTTAGTCAGGTGGTTTTCCCACAGTGTTTGTGGGATCTTGTTCCGTGTTGGTTTGTGTTTTGCACCTGTGGACGTCACGTATCGATTTGTTGTTTTGTTCGTGTATCATTTAATAAATAAGTATGTTCACCTTCCCCGCTGCGCCTTGGTCCTCTATATCCGACGATCGTGACAGAAGATCCCACCAATACAGGACCAAGCAGCGTACCCAGGCAGGAGAGGAGAAGCGGCGCCAACCGGGCAGTCGTCGGACAGGCGAGGGGCACCCCCAATAAATGTTTAGGGGGGGGCACATGGCAGGGACGACGGGGCCACTGGAGGCAGATAAGGGGCGAGTTGGTGGACGAGGAGAGAAGGCCACCGGGTTACGGGAGCCATTGGTGTATAGAGGGAAGGAAAATGTAGAGGCACGGCGAGAGGTACTGAAGTGTGTTGCCAGTCCGGTCCGGCCCGTTCCTGATCCCTGTGTAAGGCCAGTGGTGTGTGTTCCCAGTACGGTCCGGCCTGTTCCTGTCCATCGCGCCAAGCCTATGGTGCGCGTCGCCAGCCCGGCCCGGCCTGTTCCTGCTCCCCGCACCAAGCCAATGGTGCGTGTCGCCAGCCTGGCCCGGCCCGTTCCTGCTCCCCGCATCAAACCTGTGGTGCGCATCGCCAGCCCGGTCCGGCCTGTTCCTGCTCCCCGCACCAAGCTAGTGGTGCGCGTCGCCAGCCCGGCCCGGCCTGTTCCTGCTCCCCGCACCAAGCCAATGGTGCGCGTCGCCAGCCTGGTCCGGCCTGTTCCTGCTCCCCGCACCAAACCTATGGTGCGCATCGCCAGCCCGTGCCCGTTTCACCGGTGCCTGGTCAGGTACCGGTCAGCTGCTCCACACCGGAGCCTGAGCAATCCGCTCCACCGAAGTCCAGTCCAGCTCCAGCCAGTGGGGCTAGACCAGACTAGGGGCACTACGGGGGGGTTAGTAGAGGGTGGTGGTCAAGCCCGGAGCCGGAACCGCCTCCGAGGAGGAATGCCCACCCAGCCCTCCCCTGTTCGGTGATGTTTAGGCGCAGTCGCAGTCCGCGCCTTTAGGGGGGGGGTACTGTCACGCCCTGGCTCTAGGGACTTTTAAGTTGAGCCAGGGTGTGTAGAGTTTATGTTTTGTGCTCGTTGTGTCTAGTCTAGTTTTGGTATATCT